TGCTTTAGTAAACAAATATCGTTTAATTATAAGAAAGTAGTACTTGTGGTGATAAAATAGAATAATCTGATATGACGTGTATTTATTAAGTTCTGGTACAAAGGAATTGCAAAGGCACCAGAATTGATCTGCTTTTTTAAATCCTTCAAATTTAAAATAACGAGAAGAAACTCTGGAAAACACTTTTATTCTTATCCAAGACCTGTCCTTATCCTGCAAGAAACCTTCTTTCGCTCTAAGCGCTCTTAAGTCTAGCGCGTATCTCACGTCTAAATTCTCCGAGACCTTCCTTTAGCAACAAGCTTGATAATTGATGCGTTCATGCCACACAGTTTCCAACGGCATTTCAGCATAATTAAGATTACAACCTGAAACGATTATATGAAGACGACCGGAGTCGTTCTCGGTGAGACTTTCTTATCTGCGGCACTCACCGAGCTATGCCGAACATATAGTCGTTTTATCTCGACGACACGAAATGTGGCGCGGTACCGGAAACATCCGCGTTCCACCTGCCGATGGCACCGCGCTCGTTTAGGAATGCTTGTAAAGACGCGATCGGCCGTCAGGAGCCGGTCGTTATTTATCGTCGTTTTTCTCAACTCGCGTTGTTTCACGTGGGAGTGCGGTTGCAGGGAGAGGGACGCGAAAGAAGATGTTAACAGCCGTCACGTATCTCTACACTAGACGTCGTAGACATACCACCGTATCCATGGCGATCGTCGTGAGTCAGGAGATTCGACGAACCCGGCGGCAACCCGCAGAGACCAACTTTTCCCACCCCGATTGCGGCGAAAGCCATCGACCTCCTGCGCGGTGCGGTTGTTCTTCAGAGAATTTTATACGAGCCACCCAGAAGTATGGATGTCAAAGTCTCGTACACTCTCCCTTTGGCCTCCTCGCCTGCGATAATTAAGATCTTACATTCCAATTTTATTCTAACTGCAGTATTTAACGAACACGGCTATAATTTCTTTTTGAATATATCATTTTTAAGGTATTTTGTTAACGTGAACCTTTTATACAACATTTTGCAGGCATTATAAACAAATTTTATATAACGTCTCAATTTTTGTTAAGAAAATCTCTTTCACCATATTGAATGCGCGCATAATCGTAATTATACAAGCAAAAAGTTCGTCGGACGACACTTACGTCTCGGGCTATTGACGGCAAGAAATAGAGTCATCAAATTACGACTCATCGATTATACCGTGGACCGACTGTAACGTCAAGTTCCGTAAACGCGACAATGGCGCCTTTGTTTTCCCCATGGACCTCTTCTCGTGTACACTATTAACGATAACGCGCATGCCTCTTGAAAGTTTTTAAAGACATACCCCGGCCTCATACGACTCGTGAAGAAGTGCTCTTCTCTCTTTCTCTCGCACTCCGCGCCTTTCTATTTCGCTTCTTTTTTGGCCCGACGCGCGCAGAACGAGCCACAGAAGAACCTATCCACTCGATTCTATTCTTACACTTTTACCCGACGTAGGTACGAACCTGACGTTGACGTGTACCAAGTGCCTTCGAGCGGGTTTCTCGAGTTCAGGGTTGATGTGGAGTGTATGAGCGAACGATTCCGTTAACTAAGCTCCGTTTGTATAAGCATAGTGTATTTCTCACGAACAGCCACTGGGAATAGCCGCGCGGCTGGTTCTTTAAAGGGAATTTCTTGCTTATTAATGCATGCGGATGCCATTAATATGCCAAAAGTTCCGCTCGCGAAATTAGACATTACATGACATGTTATGAAAGGCTATCAGATGCATAATTTATACATTTACATATTAATGTATTGTACATCAATATTGAATAAATATTGAATTAATCTGATGTGTTTTCAACATTATAGCATGTTCGGATTTTTGCAATATCTATACCTATACTTCCTCTTCATTTATTATTATTAATTATATTTCTATTATTTAAAACGCGCGATAACACTTTTAAATAATAAAAGATTGTTATCCAAATATACAAAACAATGCACTTACTATAATATTTATTTAAAAAAAAACATGTATATGTATGAGAGTACTCGACAATAGTACTTGACATGTGTAAAATTAATAAAAATAAAAAACTAATACGAAATTTTGATAAAACAATTCTAAATAGAAAATTTATGTTTTCCACGTTTCTTAATTTACGTTTAAATATAACTGCGCTTTGAATAATATAACATGAAATATGTTTGAGACTTGTAAACGTAACGAAGAGATGCTTATCTCGATTTTATTGAGAACATTTTATTGAGATATCTTACATAATCATGTAATCATCGGCGGTACTTCTGCTATCGCGATTATTATCGTTGTTTCTGATATTATATAATCATCGTGACTATTGTTGGTGTACGGATTGCATCGTGCGGCATATTTGATACCGTTTTACGCCTCCGGGGAAGCGCTCGGCTCTTCCATTGCGGCGGCACCGACGTCTTCGGAAAGCTGCCAATCAAGGCGCGATCGCGCTACTCTCCTCGAAGGGCAGATTTCAGATCTGAGATCAACCGACGCAATTTGAATGCGGCGTTCAATAACCCCGCGGCTAAATGCGACGTTCACTAAGTACGAAGGACAATGTTCAACTGACGAGATTGTTCCGATAAACGCATCATTACTGAGCTTTGCAAAGCTTAGAATGGTTGAACCTCTTCCGCGTATCTATCCATCTATCTATTCTATCTTGTATCTATCTATCTATCTATCTATTTGTATCATTACCTTTTGTCCTCCTAAGCATATTGCAATTAACAAACTATCTTTTATTCGAACACACAAACGCAGATAGTTTTGTGCTTAATCTTTACGAGTTAAATATTCAGAATCATTTTTATGACAGATTAAATGGCAATTATTTTGCTGTCAGAAATTATTTCTATAACTAGAATAAAAAAATTTTAAGACTAGCATTTAAAATAAAAGTCTACCTATAAACTTTTAAAGTCTGTGGAAAACTCGTTGCGTCATTATCTGGCCGAATGAATATTTTCTTGAAGATTAAATTATCTTAAAATTATTATTTAATGTGGCGAGATATTACATTTAATATATGGCGCAAATTTATATTCATTACAAAATTAAGAATACGAAATGAAGAATACGAATTAAAATACCAAATCGTTAAGAAACATGCATAGCCAATGATTCGAAGATGAGAGAATACCGATGATCAATCAGCTCGGCGAGTTCGGCCGTTTCGCTTAAATAAGAACGATTTATTCCGCACAGCGCGATGACGAGGATGAACTTAAGAACTCCCGCTCCGTAAAGTGTTGATAATTGATATTTGATCGCGTGCCAGGCCGGCAATTAAATGCTTTCAGGAAGCCGCTGCGGCGGCGGCGACGGCGGCCGCGCGGCCTTTTTATCGTGCACGTCAAACGAGAGAGAAAGAGAGAGGATCGGAGATGAAGCGCGCGTATACACGTGGAGAGACAACCGACTGTCTGACTGTCAGTCCGTCTGTCTCGCCGGCCACACCTTCGCGGACAGACGGACGAAGAGCGAGAGAGACGGGCGTGGAGGAGTATCGCGAGGCTGGTGAACCTAGAGATGGGATGACGGATAACTCCGTTCGGTCGATCGTTCACCTGGTGATGGATCTGTTCTCGACTATTCTTTATTCCCGGCATTCGCCCCCGCGCCCGTATCCTCCCTCGCCTTCAGAATATCGACTTCGGGCATGCTACGTACACCTTACACGCATTTTCAATCACGATCTACGAGCCGAAGCTTGTACGGCTTTATCGCGATTGTAGGGCGCAGATAATGAAAGGCCGAGCGGCGTAAAAAAAACTCGGTAATATCGTATTCTATGTACTGTTCGTTATATTCGGCCAGATAATGACGTAATAACAGCATGTGTTACCTCCCCCCCCCCTCTCTCTCTCGCTTTTTCTTTTTTTCTGTTCTTTGTTCTTCGTCAATTCGGTAAACATCGATCACGGATTAGAATGAGATAACGCAACCAGGACAGCTCATATTTCGCACATCGTCATATCCGCGGCCAGATGAATAATTCAGCAGTCTCTTAATTCGAAATGTCATCACACGACCACGCGCGAATCTTCTTCCGACCGCACGGCGTAGATCTGGACAGCATTTTTGTGACGTCCGACATGCTTCGCTGGCACATTTCATATGCACATCCAGCCGAATGTCGATTAGTTATAGTATGACGTAGAAACACATGAGAATGCGTGATCTTTTCTCGGGGGGGGGGGGGGTCATTCATCACGGTGTTCCCTTTTTTTATCACGGATTAATTCGTTAATGCCGTTAACTAAATTAATAAAAATGTCCGAGCAGCGCGTACATGGTAAGTCGCGCGTTTCAAAAACGCGGTCGGTACGACGAAATGATTTACGTATGATTATCGAGACCCAGCACGCCGCGTATCCTCTCTATAGTCTATACGAGAGTTCGAAAGTCGATGGACGATTAGCGGTGAAAGTCTTACGGCGTGAATTACGATGTGTTCGGAAGACGCATGTACCTAGCACGCTGCAGACCGTTTACTCAAAGCTATAATCGATTTTTCGTCACCACTGTGGGAGGTTACAGCCTGTGGCGATGATAAAGCTATCGAACGGTACAGCCTTAGAATGAAAAATAGAAAGAGGCAGAAGATTCTTGTGTAATATAGACTATATAAACTATACAATTATAGAAAAGGTTGTAATGAAAGATTGATATTAAAATAGATTATACTTGGCAGTTCTAACATCATTGTATTAGAATAAAGAAAATAAAGGCTATATATTATTGATGGATATTTAAATTAATTTAAAATGTATATTAGTTTCATATCAGTGTAGAAGTATCTTCAATTATTAGTTTTATAATATTTTCTCATATATTTTAATTTTTAATTCTACATATAAGAAAACTATAATTTTTAATATACATACATATATGTATATCAGACATAACAATTTTCTGTGATAGAACTTCCTGTTTTTTTTTAATAAATAATTAATAAACAATAATATATTTGCAGCAATTACAGTGATTTTTTTATTGTAATGCAGAAATTTATTGACTGCAGCAGAAAGCGAGAGAAATTTGGTATAATGGTAGAGACAGAAGGATAAATATTGAGACGAGACGTTTGTTAATTTGGAATACGATCTGTTTACAGAAGTGCTTAAGAACTAAGCACTGGGATTAAATATTTCCTGATGTCCGAACAGCCGATTAGCCTACGCGGGAAGCGCCTCTCTTAACTCTTCCAACAACGTCGTACTTCGACCCGGCCTCTATAAGAAAATCGTAAAGATCAAATAAAAGTGATTTGCGGTTGGGTTAAGTTCATCGCGTCTGAAACCTCAACCATTATTGGTTTTTCACTTACATGATTACTGTAAGCTGGATTTCACGGCGCAGCGCTGTTTGATGAAATCGAAATTGTGAAATTTATTACATCGTCTTTATCTTATGTAGATTATTTTACTTTGTTTATTATTATCCGTGTAACGCGCACACGCCTCGCGTATTATCGTCGGAATAGCAATGAAAATAATGACGACTGTTAAATGGCCGATATAATGGCCAAAAGCCCGCTGTATTTACGCGCGTTTATGGAAAGGTATCTTATCAGGCTTGCTTTATACGTCTGTTTTAGTCGGTAGCGGGCGAACGTGGAAAGAGACGTGAATATGTAATGAGTCCTACGAAACCGCAGGTATATATTGAGCCATCAGGTAGACAAGACAACCTTCCACAAACGATGCTTTTTAAAATCTTTAGTCACCTGAATTTTATTTACGAGCGTCCGGCACCGACTAATTTCACGAATAACCACGCGAAATTTATTGGCATTGTGTGTGGTGAGTTTTTTCACGCGTATATCCGAGTGCTGTAACGATACACAAATTTCATGCTAATGTGCAAAACAGAAGGTCGCGACAGATACTATTGTCGATTATATATACTTTCTATCATTCTATTTATCGAAGCATCTTTTATTATTTCAAAGCAATTTCTTTTAAGTAATTAATAATGTTAAACGTCATTAATTTTTTACTTTAAATCGATACCAATATACAAATTTTAATCATTTTAAGATTAAGTCAATTAAAGTATATTGAAAATAATTATAAATAAATTCAATTAATAAGTTTTATAATATATAATAATATTAATTTAATATAAAATTAATTAATTTGATAATATAATATTAACAATGAAAGATTTGCATTGTTATTTTTAATCTATTTGTTAACTTTGAAAAATCTACATATTTTGTGTTTATTTTTATTTAATTATAAAAAGAATAGAATTAATTTTCTCACAATGACTTCACTTTCATCTTATTATTATATCAACGAAACTTAACAATAAATAATATTATTTCATCACTGCTATAAATTTCGTAGATACCATCTCGTGCTCTTTTTCCTACCGTCGTTTTTATAGCGGCCACTCTTTTAAATCAGACAGATACAAAGAGAGATTAAGAGCAAAAACGCGTGTGTAGCTTAATAAAGAATGAAGAAATAATACGCGTAAGGGTCTGCAGAAGCAGAATTCGGCAGAAAGTACCGCGGGGTAACAAAGTCGGCAAGATAAAGCCCGCATATATGAAATCAGCCAGGACTCGCCAGACCTTTTGCCCACGAGGTTCAAAGCATGACCGATTAAAATTGCGGTGGTGACAACGACGGATGACAGCTCAATTATCATGGTTATATATAGTCTCTCAAATTTTAAGCAATTCTTTCCATCTACGAATTCAACGACTAATTTGGGGAAACTTATTCTCTCCTTGCCAGAAATATTAAGACATAAATTTTTTTAAGTTTTATATAATTAAAAAAACCACAAGAGAGAAATAATTTGTATGAATTATACTTGGAATGACATATACTTTCCCCTTGATTTCAACTCTTATTATTTAAACGGAATCACAATTTAATATAAAGATATTCTCTCAAAACTAAACGCCAAGATATTGCGGAAAAAATGACACCTGATTGAATTTTCATTAAATCGACTCGAATCGATTAAGGAATTTGTAATATGTGAACCACGGGGATTATGGACCGTCTGGTATATGCACGCACGATATTATTCTGGCAAGAAAGATGCGGCTGAAAGACCCCTGGTGCGCCCGCCGGTCCTTGGCGTGGCGGATAAATTATTGTTGTTAACGACATATTTATCGACGGTACACGCCGAGGATACCGGGAAGTGAGACATTGAGCCGTTCTGTCCGTTTCGTGGTAAACCACCGACTCCGCTAATGTCTTTATCCAACCCGTCCAGACCATTTCGGATTCCGTTGTCGCCTCTGCGAAAGATGATAAACATGTGATGACTATATTTGCTAACTAGAATTATTTTATTCACGTCTCTTTGGTGGACAAAGTCACAGCAACTAGGAATTTCTTTCCTACAAATTGCACGTACAATTAGGAAAAGATATTATGAAATGATCAAATTCAATTATCAAATTAATTAATAGAAAAAAAAGCATTAACAACGACAGAATCCTATTTGCCAACTATAATAAATAAAATGAATGTTACATAATAAAGATAATATGTACAATTATAATAAAATTAATTTATAAGTCGAAAAAATAATTTAAATATTATTTGACGTTATTATTTAAGTGAATTATTCAATCTGTCTATTAAAACGTTTTATGAAATTCTAAACAGAGAAATCGCGATTTTGCAATCATGATATCTTCCTCTATTAAAATATGTGACTCATCTAAAAAAAATCTTCTTTAATTTTCTTTAATTATAAATATTCATAAATAACACTTTGGTATCGCTTGTTTGATGTCAATGAATGGGTTAGCAATTACTTCTCATCATCTATGGTAATTTTTACAACAGGAAGAACTGTTCAAAATGACCTCATCGAATACATTTTAAAATAAAAAACATTATCAAAATTCGTTGAATACATCTTTGTCTATCTGCACACGATTTTAGATTTCTCGCATAACGAAAAAAATTTATTCGAATCTGGCTAGGTCTTTTCGTTAATGGAGAAGATGAAGTTTAATGATGACTATTAACAGCTTAACGTTCAATGCACTCTCGGATTAGCGGTGGCTAGTGGAGATTAAGATGCCGTAATGAATGACAACTGTTTTCGAACCTGAGAGAAAATTCAATGAATCACGAATATGGGATCGCAGGCGGCTTTTTGGCAAGCCTCCTCTGTGCGCGCGCGCGCGCGCGCGCGTGTGTGTGTGTGTGTGTGTGTGTGTGTGTAAGAGAGATAAGAGAGTAGGTACACGTACAACCCGTCACGACGTGTCGCTTTCGTACGTTGTGTTCGTCTTTCGAGACGAGAAATCTCGCGCGAGCCTTTTTGCCGGCGCCGAATCATTCTTTAATGATGATTAATGAACGACTCGTATTTCTTTCTACGTTTATACGTTACATAAAGTCCGCCTTCGGTAATTAGCTAAACCGGCCAAAATCCGGCCGGATCGTGGGCGCGGAACGTTTGTCGCAATGTCCGACGTCATGCAGTCGTATTAAGCGAGCGCTTAATTATTTCGCCAATTCCGCAATGACCATTCGTTGAACCTGTTCTTGTGACGCAAAAAACATATGTGAATTGTAACAATGTGTCAGGCGGCATGAACGGTGCATGTATAATGCGGGAAAGGGCGACAGTAATGGGATTTTTGACGGGCGGGCGACGACCTCGACCGCGGCATATCAAAAAGGTTATTCAATAAATCAGTAATTTCTCTTCTAACAGAAAAACAAGTTCGAAAAAAGAATAAAACATCTGTTTTGATTAACTAGACTAATATCAGGAGAAATTGCATTTTATCTCTGATGATACGGTCTCTCTCCCTAATTTATTCGGATAATAACGTACTATAATTGAAAATATCGGTCAAGCAATCGAATCTGATTTATCCAGACAATTCCCCCCGCTACTACTGCAATAATTAGGTATCGTATAATAATAATTGGGCACAATAATCGATTTCTTAATTATTTCAAGTATTCTCTTTTTATCTAACTGAATATTCGTCGAATCGAACGCGTAAATATTAACAATAGTTTCTGATGCTTATGTTCGTAAGAAACAGTTTTCCAATAAACATCGAAACAAGAAGCTAAAATGCAAAAAATAAACACGAATTAAAACAAATTAAAATAACGTTACAGCAAATTTTTATATATACGTACTTTGTAAAGTACGCACCGAAGACAGCATATAAACAGCAATGCAAAACTGACGGGACATCGCCGGAAGACGGTATAATAGCGTCCGAGACAAATATTGGCGCATTACACGCCGTCGGCACAATTTTTCAAGACGGCCGAGAAGCGCGCATTTATCGCGGAAAGAAGGTAATTAAGGTAAATCTCTAATTACCTTGACGCGGTCGAAGGGCGTTAGGGCCGCAAGGCGCATAAGAGGAGAGGAAGTCCCTGGGGCAAAGATAATGACAACTCGCTGTAATTACGCATTTTGAGCCGCGGCATAATTTCACAACGACGGGGGAGCGAAAGGGCATTCTCGCTTAGCATTCAAATTGGCCGTGTCAAATATTCGTTGTCTGTCTACCGGCTTTTATTCCAAGTTCGCACGCCTGTACGCCGTAAATAATGCAGATTGCGGCGGTGCCGTTTCAAAGACAGAATTCGTGACAGAAACCGTCGACAGGGACCATCACTTATCTTCCGAATAAGAATGATGATCAAAATGAATTACATCTTGAATCATGCATACACCCGATAAGCAAGAACCTTGAATCCTATTCCCACATTTACGCATTTAACATTAAATGTATTAATAAATAGCAATCCAACTCGAGTTTCATAATAGACATTGTACTTTCTATACTTTCGTATTAAAAAATGTATGCAAAAAAATATGCTTTGTATCAACATAGTAGACGATTATTTATGACAAATACTTAAGAAAAATATTAAAGCATTGCACACTTCTCTTCATAAATTTTATACAATACTGATGTGTTCGCATCAATTGCAACTCTTATGAAATATAATATTAAACGTAATTCGAGTAAAATACGAGTCTTATACTCGTATGTGTCATTGAATACGCCGCGTCCGGTTCGATCGAGAGCTTCTTAAACGAGCCACGCCGCCGGTAATTTTCATGCATACACCTATGAGCGAGTAATTGCTAATTTGCATAATGACCACATAAAGTGCCATCTTACTTGATGGAACACACGAGCTCCTTTACCAAAGTCCAAACTGGAAATCGTTCTGGGTTATATTCTCTAAGTTATCCGCGAGTCTTCTTTCAAGCAAAAATTGCGCGGAATGCCGTAACGAATGTTGAATAAACCAACATACCAGCCAGAATATCAACAAGATAATCAGAACAAATCGCGCCTGATAAGCGGCGACAGTCGAATGAACACGAATATCCACATTCTGCGCGATTGATTTTTAATAACCACGATTAGAATTTTGATCCAATTTTCCTGAATCGATATTTTCCGTGTAAAACAAAATCGCGCCACAATTTACGTCAAGCCGACCAACGCAGCCAACGTTCGTATAGCGTGATCATTACCGGCGGTAGCAAACATGTGTAAAAAAAAACCGATGTCCACACGAGGGCCGCATGTCTTACTGCGACTCGACGTTTCGCGTATCGACCCCCCACGAATCCGTACAAATCGGAAATTAGATCCCAGACTGGGTCGCGGGAGCTTCCCGGGAGAGAAAAAGAGGGAGGGAGTGTCGGTTATTCGCAGAGCTCGTAATTGGAGAGCCGGAATCCTGAAATATGAGGCGGACTCTGGGCCACCTGTCGAAATGGATCGCAGAACGATCTCGACGTTCGGAATGAGGCGGCTGCGAAGCTAATAAAAAGAGAACTCGCGCGAGATATATACGATGTATATAATACATATACATAGTACAATATGAAAGAAAAAAAAAACCGAGATCGATAAAGAAAGTAGGCGTGCGACTAAATCGACGAAATCTAGAGAAATGTTGAGTACGCCACGAGGAGGCGGTTATCGACGAAATCTCGACGAGAAGCTTTAACGGTATGCGGGGACCGGTTGAGGGGCCCCATAATGGCAGAACAGCGTTGAATTTACTGATCGGCGAAGTTTGTCGATTCCATAAACCGTTTGCGTACAATTGTTGTCCGAAAGGTATCGTGACACGAATTCATTTGGCCGTTTTTGTTATTAACTCATTTGAATAAATATACGCGTTTTCGTAAGCGAAACACGGCCTCATGTAAAAGGACGCTCGCATTATTGCAGATATTGTGTTATTTTTATGCAAAGATAGCCGAATTACATATACAGCGAAGCTCTTGAAAATACAGCTTGAGTCGAAGCGTTGCGTTGGCGTAAAGTCATGAGTATCTCTTTGCATCACCAGTGATAATATACACTTTAGTAACATTTAAATTTCCTTGATAACATTCTTAATAATATAATTCTTCCTTATACGAAAACAATGCTCTGAGTATAATTATTTGTCAACGAACCGGCGAAAAAGAGTAAGATCAATGAATTTATTGTTCACGCAATGCAAAATTCATAAAGTTGGCCAACAACAAAAACATGTATGTTTCTAGAGGACTTAATGTATCGATTTCTTATTTAATCAAATTATTATATTTGCATCATAAATTGGCAAATGTTTCATCAAATTACTAGAATAATAATTATGTTTAATAATTCTAATCTTATTATTATTATAATAATAATAATAATAATATTATTATTATATAATATGTTTGTGGCATCTATTTTGCTTTCTAAATTTCACGCACGTTATTTAAATTGCACAAGGTATCCTTTAATCGCGCGTTCACAACGAATCGCAATATAATCTAACGAGATTAAATGATCGTATAGTATCGTCTATAAGAGAGAAGTTACAACTGCACGCAAGGAGCTTGTCGCTTCGTTCTTATTTTCATTTGTGTCTAACAATCGATCGCCTTTGAAACGGTAAAGCGATGAAGCGAGCGTGCACTAAGCCGCCATCATATACATTAAACCACGATCGTGGATTGTGTGCGGAGAGAGGTAAAGCAGAGATAAAGCGATTAGCCCGATCGCGAAAACAGTGGCGCATATGATCGAGCTTTCTTCAAAGAAGAGGAAATGAATTGTGTCTTACACAATCATGATGCTGAAACAAGTGCAATTACATCAATGTGACCATTTGATCAATCAAAATCATTGGCAAATCTTAATGAAACAATAATATTACCATTTAGATATAAATAAGAGTGTGTTGTATAATAAAATTATAATTATATCAGTATAAAATATTGATATCGATATTCGAGATTCGAGTAAACTCAGCATTCCTAAGTGATTTCTAAAGCGATTTCCTTATCCATTTCTAAGATAAGGTCTTATGCATTACGGAAGATATCTTGTTAAACGATTGCACGACTGCTTAATTAGCCTAAATCAAAACGGAAAAATGCGAGGCATATACAATTAAGCATAATTTCTACATCATTAAAATTTTAGTTGCTAATGAGACAGAGAAGGTTCACAAAAGGTTATTAATTCCGACATACAGGTTGAAGAGACTACCTAACTAGCTCGGTCTGTTCATAGATCAAAACAATTTACCGAGATAACTGTAACAGGAAACTCGCGCACGCTGGCCGACATTAACACGCATTGGTCTAGGTGGTCAATCTCGGCGCGGGATGATTGATAACTCTCTTGTAAGCGTTATCAGCCGCAGCGTGCACGCTGTTATGTTCACGTCAGGAAACGTGACGCTGATAGACGGACTTTACCTTTCCTCCCCTCTTTCCCTCTTTCCCTTCGGCTTTCCAACGTAACTTGTTGCCTTTAATTCAAAGATACATGTCGACGTGTTAAACGCGCCCCCCTGTGTATTCTAAGCCCCACCAATTTACAATTTCCCTTTGTTTATTATAAGGCCAGATTAATTTTATTCAAAAATATGTGTTAGTTTTATGAATTATATAAAATAAAAGAACCATAGATGTTAACTAAGCTAAAATAATCTAATCAAGAATATTAATAATAATCTAAAATAATTTAATCGAGAATATCTGTCCATATTTTAAAATTAATAAAAGATATGGAAAAATAGTTTAATCTTTTCTAAATTCATTCACAACTAGATAGAATAACTTTTTCATGTTCAGAAATGTTTATCCCTTTTTCTGAATATTATATATAAATTGCGCACAACAAAAAAATATTCTTCCCTAAAAATACTTTCTTGTTTAATCATGCTTAATTACGGACGTTATCCAAAAATTATTAGCTTCAAAAAGTTGCCGGCCAAGTTCCTACATCCTCCTATCGCTACCTGAGCTACCTCACAATCGTGAAGAAGCAGCATTAACGGCGCATTCGTATGCAGAGTCGAGTACCAGCTCTCGATCACGGGCGGCTCCTTCTCCCTCGGACGACTTCTTCTCCCTTGGATGCCCCTTTTCCAAGCTCGCCGGGCCCTGAGCGATCGCAGTGTCGACAACTTGAAGTACATATAAACTCACGTATGCGTAGGTAGACCGACGGCACGGAAAGCCGCGTGACAAGAGCGTAATGAATCTACCTCTCCGACGAGCATATACTTAGGATGGTCTTAAGATAGAGGCGCTGCTCGGTGGAATTCGAAAACTGCACACGCGATTAATGTCGCTGCAACGAGCAGAAGATGCGAACGAAGCCGTCGGTTGGAGCGGCCGAAGCGCGCATTACGGCGTCTCTTTCGCGGATAATCCTGCGATCAGCCGGACCTAATTATCCCGTTCTCTCGTTTGTAATTCCGCGGGCGCTCGTCGCTAATCTCCATTTCAATGTTTAAAGTCGCGTCGGCCGGGGGGAATCGTCGCGATTAAGACCTTGAGTAAGGACCGATCAGAAACATTCTGTACGGGTTTAAGATATTTCACGATAACGCGACGAACCATAAGACCCGACTAATGAGCGTGGAGCGAGGGAAAGAAACCGCTCGGTGGCGCGCAGTTATCTCACTCGAAGCTCGCGTTTCAGCGAAGAACGACTATGCAAACAGCCGAGAGAACTGGTCGGGCAATCGTTCGGCAAGTGTGTAAGTACTCAGGCAGGGAGGCTGCGGGAAATCATCGGCGCGGCGGCCGACCGCGAATCGTTCGACCGCCGCCGCTGCCGCCGGTCGCGCCTGGAGAACGATTCTCCGACTAATCGGCCGATCCGCACCGAGAAGAATCTACCTCCATCGTCCCCATCATATGCTCGCTCGCGGGCCGCCGCGCCGTTTTCTTCCGTAATAAACCCGCGGTGCGATTCTCTTAATTACGTTCGCACGGACGATAATCTCAGGCCTCGTTAAGTGCGGTGCGCGAGATCGCTGCCGCGCGGTGCGCGTCCGAGATGAAACGATTTCAGCGGGGATAAGTGGGATAGGTAAGGGACGTAGAGTGCTTTCGGTAGGTGTGCGGCAGGAATAATAGCGAAGGACGCCTAATAAACCTGCGGGTGTCCCGCTGCGCGGAAACGGGACGCGCCGGATGAGGCTGTGAGCCAATTATGGAGCGCCCGCGCGTACCGCGCCAAGATCTCGAGAGTCGATTTATATGATGCTCGTGTTGCCCGCATATATGTGTATATGCTCGGCAAAGGCCCGGGCTCGCCTGAAGAAATTATACGATAATTCGGCGGGACTAAAACCGAAAACGCGGCGAAAAGCCGACGCATTCTTTAAATGTCAGATTTTTTTTGGCGACAACAGATTTACACACTTATATTTCACACCCATTACCGTTGATATATAGAAATCTAGAAGCTCTGCAATATCTCTTCATATTTTCTTATATTTCTTCTTGTTAGATTGCATATCTTTGTCCATCTAATTTTAAAGAAACTATGCGGTTTTTTTTATAAATGATAATATGTATTTGTAACGCTAGTAAGCTAAAAAATAAATAACAATTTGTTATATTGTTTCAATACGACAATTGTTACAAGAAATTTTGTAATATTAAATCTATAACTTTTAATCTTTTTTATTACAGAAGCTCCTGGAGAACTTGGATGGGTGCTGACTCTTGTGATAGTGTCCTTAGTATCAGCAGGTATAGGAGCGGTAGTGATGATGACTCTTCTCCATTGTCGAAGGTTAGTATATTATTTTTTCATGAGAAAAAATTGAATATATTTTTTCACTAATATTAGTGAGAAAAGAGAAATGATTGAAAATTGCCTTTAAGCGACACGGAATTAACTGTCTCTCTTTCTTGTTAAATTTATACTTTTTGCTGGATAAAATCAATCAGAGTTAATGGTCGCTCAAATTGAAGTCCTATTGCACGGTTACCCAGCGCAATCTTCACGGAGACGCTTCTCTCGGAAAGACTTCGCGAAGAACGGTGAAGCACTGCGATACGGATCATCGCGCCGACAGATTCGCGAACCGATCGCGGTTTCATCTTACAGCCGCACGCGGTCGACTCTCTTAAATTACCACCTACTGGCGATACGTAATCGACCGAGTCGATCGGCACTAAGAACGAGGGATGAAGCGGTCGCTAACTAGATCGATTCGGTGCGAATCCGGCAAGTGACAGACTAACGGGGCGTCGAAAGGGCAGGAAGGGAGGAAGGGAATGGTACACGAACACCATTACGAAAGAATCATGACTGCGGTCAGATCTCGATTAGAATTCCTGGGTAGCCAGGAAACGAGGGTTTTCGTGATCGCAATCTCCTCATCCTCCTCTATGTCCCTCGCACAGAAGATGATTTATTAAACTTGATTGCCAACTTGCATGTTTCTTCACTTCTAATTTTCATGAAAAAAATAATCATATGGAATTTAGAGCACTCGTTTTTAATAAGTTAATTATCCGACATATGTAAAAATAATTGTTGCTGACTTATGTTTTACAAAATACTCCCATTTGTTATTTTGAAATAATTACTTTCTTACAAAAGCAATTAGGTATATTATTATCATAATTATTATATTTATAAAATAACTAATAACAAATACTTCTCAAGATTCACCGATATTTCTTGTTTGATCTGTTACAGGATAAAAAGTGCCGGTGGCAGAGGTAAGCAAAGTTCCGTTCCGTCAAAATATGCACATTCCTCGCAAAACCGTTATGAAATGTTATGCCCGGTTATACTTTTTCACTCATATTTCTTATAATAATAATAATATCATAGATTTGTACGAAATAAATCTTGTCACGCAAACGTGAATCAGACTATAAAAATGATTCAGAAAGCAACTTGATATGTAGGGTTACGATTAGGTTGGTCGGAATAAAGGGAGGTCCGGATTTACTGTCGAGACGCGGACTAGCCCTCCAATTATGTCGAATTAACATACCATGTTCGGCACGGTGGGTTCGCGGCGGCGCGCGGCGCTGACAGGTCAGGTTCGAAATGATTCCCAATTATCCGAGTTCCCCTACTGAGTTACCTGCTCGCGGGGCCCTTCTATTCGCTCGTTTCTTCATCGTACGTTAATATACGACATCCACATTCACAATAATACCGTCTCAGATATGCTTTATGAGGAGCCCCCTACAAAAGGTACCTTCAAGAACGCTCCTCGCTCTGTCATGTCATAAACTTTAAATTGTAGAAAAAAAAAACGGCGACACATATGGTAGAAAACGTTCTTATAAGAAAACGATATCAAAATAATATAATTTGAAAAGATATGTGATAGGGAAAATTTTATATCAACGTTCGAAGTCTATGACGTATTATTTACCATATCGTACTAATTAACTTTGCATTGTCATTACGGTGTTAAATAAAAGTGTCGTTAATATCGTTGTAACATTTTGCAGAATAAAGATGCAAATTCATGAGACGCTCGTTTCAGCATTACACGTAAAAGTCACGTAACTTCGACTTTGACGCGTGTAAAAAAAAAAGCTGGATTTTCTCAGCTTCAGCGTCAAATGCTGTTGTTGTTTTGTTCTGAACATTCTAGATACGAGTAATACGATTGACGTTTTAAATTTGATGTTACTGCTTTTCGTGCAAGCCAACTATGATCACGTAATTTTGACGCTAAAAATGAGCGTCAGCATGAAAAGGCACCTTAAACTGTCTGCTTATATATACATATATTGATCTTACATGCACAATCTCTAAAATAGGGTGTCGTCTAGCACCCTCTGTGCGATACGATTTCGAAAAAAAAAAAAAATAGGGCGACAATCAATCGAATCGATAAACGTGACGCTTCGAAAACGTGAGACACGCTCTTAAAGTACCGTGTCCCTTATCAGGGGATATACCTTTCTACCTCGTATTCGCGGCGGCAGACTCACGATGTCGCCGTCGCCATCTCCGTCGCAAGCACGGAGTCATGGTGCCAGACGGGTGAAAGGACTCGAACGAAAGGAGCGAACCCCATTGCGGAGACCCCATACAGACACAATACAAGAGCGTGCGCATGCAACGGCCGCGGCCGGTGGGCTGGGAACGTGCGACGACGGGCACGTCGTCGGCGCGAAAGAGAACAACACCGTCGCGTCGTGGCAGCATCGAGTGTCAGCATCGATTGGAGTTTAATTAGTTCGCATAATGCAAACTGCTCACGCCGATATAAACCGCGCATTCGTGTGCTGCATGTTCTCCGTCGTGCTGCTTTAAAGGATATATATAATCGAGCGATACAATGCGACGCGACGCGACGCGATGCGATGCGACGCGACGGACGGACGGCGCGCGGCCGGGCGACATAAAAGACAGCGAAACGCGTCTAATTAACTTTCTGATTTAAAATCAGCCGCGGCACGATACGATCGACGAGCGAACGGCGGCAGACGTAAAAAGACGATGAGCGAGCGGAAAGACAGGAGCGAGAGACTGTGCTACTGCCTGGGATGTAGGGGTCACCCGAATTAATTATCCGACACTCGTTTCATTGAACCTCTTAAATCACTATCGGGTCTTCGCGGCATGATTTGCGCTTAAACCCTAAACTAAGGCCTAAATCCGAAACTAATTCGATTACAATTTATCAATTAAAAAGACGTTTATTTTTATGTGATGCCAAATATTGTAAGGCATAAATTTAAAAAATATATTTAATTTTTTAATGTCTAAAGAGAGAGATCAAACTTTTTAAAAAATTGATATTCTTTATTATGATATGATAAATATATAATATATCTTTATAGTAAGAGTATTTTTTAAAATATAAGCGCAAAAAGATATTTTTAAAATTTTATTTTATAATTGTTTACAATTACAAGTAAACTAAAATAAGATATTTTTTAATAGTGATAATGTTATTATACTTTTCGTTATTTTCGCATCAAAATAATCATCCAAGGTGGTCCGCGCGGAGCAATTTGTATTTGCAACCCACAAGAACGCGTAATTTCGTCGTTCTCGCCCCAGGGGCGAGCTCTCTAGTCCGGTTTTAGAACGGATAACCGCTAAGAGAGGCACAAACAACCAAGATACAATTACATGTTAAGACGCGATGATTTATTGCTACCACTTAAAACAACGGGGTCTGCTAAGCCGCGTAATAATATGCAACAGAGAAAATTTCTCAATGACAAAATGGAATTTTAGTGTTAAAGAGATCTTATCGTGATTTTAGTGTCCATAAACCGCTTACTCTCCTATGACAAGAATAAAATCTTGCAAAAATATTGACCTAGATAAAATATATGTGCATAAGTATATAAATGTATATATACGTAAATATCTTATTTATAAAAATATTTTTTCAAAATTTTAACGTCAAATATCTAACGTATTATCTTTAAAATAATCGATTTATGCACAGAATGTCACACGACTTATATAAATCACATTACTTATATAACACGTCACATTACTTATATAAATGATATATATATTTTAATTGTATATTTCAGAGATTAACTGTAATTAAAAATTTTAATATATGAAAATATCATGCATGATTAATTAGCCTCCGAGTTATAAGCAATGAAAATGGATAAATTAAAGTATAATGTTCGTGCGTTTAATTCTGGGTAAGAGTAACAAATAAAATAAATAAGTAATAAATTATTTACCCTGTGGTTGCTCCGTTAACGCCCGATGCCTCCCAGGCCTGCTCCTCCTCTCAGATTCCTTCGTTGCACACACAACACCCGCGAGATATGATTAATTACGATCGCGCGCACTTTGCACGACACTCCCGAGCTTAACTGTACCCGACGCGTAATTTGCGAAATATACGAGAAATTATTATTAAACGATCGATATATCACGGTTATTTTAATCACTCGAATTGGCAAGTCATTGCACTCCATCTTTCGACCTGCAAGTAATAACCAAATTATATTGTATAAACCAGTGGATAATTCATCTCTACGCGTCTTTATAAATATAATTATTACAATAAAGCTTGTACGAATTGTATATTATATAATTCTCATTCGCTTTTATTCCAATATAAATGAATAAATCGTATGAACTATGTGCATCTATAAATATATAGTTGTAAGTCTTGCATGATAAAAGTTATTTAACTTAACGAATTATGTCGAATTGTTAATATTTAGTTAATTATTAGTTAATATTTAATATTAATCACAGAAAATGATCGCGTTTCTCTCTCTTTCTAGCATTTGTCACATCTCGAGAAAAAACAGACAGGCAATTCTATCACGCATCTCCAAAGAAATAATTATCGCAATAAAGCTCACATAAATTTATAATTCCTATTTCTTTTTCACTCTTATTTCAGTACACGTGAATAAATCGCGTGAACTATGCATCCATAAGTATTCAAAACCTCAAAATATTTAACAAATTATCGATTGATAATTATTAGTGCCAATATCATAGAGAATGATCGTATTTCCCGTCTTTTATTTCTATAGTGCTTGTGATCACATCTCGGGAAATAATGTGCTAACACGGTAGCAGTTGTTTACGTTTGCTCTGCTACCTGTTGACTCGAGTGTTGTCGCGCGAATAACAACACCGGCAGCTTGCGTACACAATACAACGCATAAGGTCACGCTCCAACCGATGTATTGCTCCGAAATATTATATTTAATCCTAACATAAAGTCAAATAACACCGGCACACAAAAAAAAAAAGTGGTTTGTGCATTTGACCGGACCCATCTACGGACATGTTTTTCGACCCGCTGAATCCGAATTTGAGGTCCGTTGGGCTCGGTCAGGTCCCAGATTTTAGTAAAATGCAAAAAACCCCCCAAAAATATGAAAAACTGCATTACAGCGATGAAAAAATTTTTGTTGACCCA